CCTGGAGTGTCAGTTTTTTTTGTAATACAAGTCAGATGTGTACTTAGCTCAAAACTAAGGCACCCACTGAATTGAGTCACACAAAAAGGGAATCACCCACTGTATTTTTGTTCTCATATAGACTGTGTAATGGCCATGGATTTCGTCTTTCTTTGCCTGTCTCCTGTTGCCATGCAGGAAGTCATGAAGTACGAGGCTAAGCTTTTCCGGATGGCATATATTATGGATCGTAAGTCGGAAAGCTCGGAGATGTTTCTGGGTCACCTGAGCTTCTATCGCGAGTTTTACTTGGAGGTGAAGGCTGCCAAAGGCCGAGAAGAGTTGCACGAGAAAGAATTGCTTTCGAAAATGGAAATGCAGAAAGAGAAACTGGCTGAGAAAGAGCGTGAGTTGTCGCAACTGAAAAAGGACGGTGAGAAGAAGGCACGTGAAACCTGGGTCGAGTTGGAGGTTACACGGAAGGCAAGGGATGCTTTACAAGGGAGGGTCAAGGAATTGAAAAACGAGCTGGCCACAGTCAGCGAGAACATGAGAGTGGCAGAGGAGACAGCTCGTAAGAACAGGGAAGACTTGAAACGATTCGCAATGCAAGCTGTTCGAGAGACCGATCATCGGGAAAAGGAGGCTACTGAGAGGGAGGTTTCACTTAGAAGGCTGATGCAGGTGGAGATTGCCGAACAGGAGAAGCACTGGAAAGCTAAGTTCAACGAAAAGGTAATAGGATTCCCCTCCTAGCTTTCCCAAGCCCCTTCCCATCTCCTGACCCTGTCTATATGTCCCACTATCTCTACACCGGACACCCTCTTTGTCATCTCCATCCTTTTGTCGTATTCATGTGAGTACACGACAATAAACTCCTGATGTGTTCATTAACAGTTGCATGTGTGTATCTACCATTTAGCTGCATGGCCTGGGTCTCTTGCCATCTTTCTTTATCACTCCTCACCCTCACTTATACATGTGCCTGAATCATTTGAAGACAAGGACGTCAAGGCGCCATGTCTGGCCTCTCAAGGACCTAAACTTATGCAAGAGCAGCTGGAACAAGCGCCTTACTGAAGGAACAAGTGCGTCACTGGGTTACTGAGCACCAGTGTTATCTCCTTTCTTCACTGAAAGGGAAAACTGAGAAACTACAGAGCGATCTGACTCCTTACATTCCCATACAAGATCCATGCCGAAGCACCGGTCAATAGAATCCTGAGATATCATGGAATTGAATCCAGTTTCATCAGGTTCGAACTCAGGTCCTTATTTCAACACCTCGTGGGTGTACCCAGCTAGTCCCGTTGGTTCTAGCAAACAGACTCCCGAATCTTAATTATGTTAACTTTGTATCTTTTACCTGTGCAGGTCAGAGCTCTTCAGAGTCGACTTGGAAAATTTCAGAAGGAGAACAAATTCCTTCATGACCAGGTGAGCTACTTTTCATCCCAGTGGAGATGGATTGGAGTCATTTGACGTGTGTGGACAGAGACGAGCCAAATTCCAGTGACATTCTGTTGTTTTGCTCAGAACTGCTAGCTTTGGACAACCATTTCCTCGTGACAACATTGGAGCCTTGCTTATTCATTAATGGAAGGGGTAACATGTTACCCCTTCCATTAATGAATAAGCAAGGCTCCAGTGTTGTCTTGAGGCCATATATATTACAAGTGGGCTGTTATGGCATACGGGGATGGGGGCAGCTCGCGCTCAACTTCATCAACGTGGCGAGCCTTGCACGTGAGAGGCACAGTGGAGGTGGAGTTCAAAGAAGAATGAGAAATTTAATGGTTTCAATCTGCCCTTGTTTTTTCTTTTTCTTTTTATTTTTGCATGTTATCACTGTGCCCGTTTTTTGCTTTTATTCTTTGTTCCGCAAAGTGCGCTCTTTTAGTTTGTAGTGATGTGACAATGTATATACAAGGGGACCTGCCGCAGCTACGCTGCGGCGAAGGACGGTGACAAAAACATTTTGCGAAACACCCCAGCCATCAGTTGGACCCCATCTTTGCAATGAACCCCTACCGGACGCTGCCAAACTTTGCAAAATGCCAGTTGCCAAGTTTTTGTGGGTGCAATTGCAAAAGACCAAGCGAATTTGCACACCCGCCTGACAGGGGCATAACACAAACGTGTCAGCCCAAAAGGCCATTCCACTGTGCCCATATCTTTTTGAGGGACCTTTTGACATGTATCTCAACTTATGGGGGTATTTGGCAAATTACCCTCCCCCCCAAAAAAAGGTTGACTCTCTCTCTCTCTCTCTCTCTCTCTCTCTCTCTCTCTCTCTCTCTCTCTCTCTCTCTCTCTCTCTCTCTCT